TGCTTTGACTTGGAAGCTACACCCTTCTAGGTCACGTCCCTGAAGCGTTGGCCGCCCCAGGTGTGGGAGGAAAGATCATTTGCAGTTTGCCGCCTCGACAGACGTGTAACCGATGCCTTTGGAAGGCAAGCGTCCCGAGAAGGCATCCCCCTCAGGCGGCTTGGCTCCCAACCGACGCGGGGCTTCGAAATCCAGGGCTTCGCTCCCCGCGTCGAACTTCACGACGCTCGCCCTTTCAGGGCGCCGCGCCGTTCGCGGAAAATCCGGGCGCCGAGTCACAGCCGGGCCGCGGAGAAATGCTACAACGCCACAGGCTGGCAGGCGTCGAAAGCAGAGTCCTCCCAGGCCACGCCCACATCCCCTCGCTCCTTACACTTTTGTCTTACCTGGGCTTTGACTCCGACTGTCTTTCGCCTTCATTCCGATGAAACCTCACGCCGTTGGCGTCAGGCTATGCCGCACTCTCTGGCGGCACAGTGATGCTTGGCCCGCAAGCGTGCAGCAGGTGTGAGGCCAAGTGCGGTCCATTGACTCAATACCAGAGCATCGACTTCCAAAAGAAACCGCAAGGGTACAAGACTAGGTCCTCCAGTAGAGAGCTTAGAATAGGGTGCCCTTTTCTCTGAGGTCTATTTTAGTAGGGGAACCCTCCCCAAACGGGTAAAAAGGCACTACTGGGGGGACCTACAAGAAGAATGCTCTTGTCGCGGTCTTGCTTTCAAGTCCTCCGTCAAGTCTCAGGGAGAGTCACTGAGTTGCCTCTCCCCCCTCCCCGGAAATTGGTGGCATAACACCGGCAGCACTCGCGGGCCGAAGCCTATGCTCTCACTGCACATTGCACAGGAGTTCCTTGGTGCCGCGTGTTAAAAGGCGTGTATAAGATGTATAGATATAAGCTTTCATGCGTGTATGCGGGTATGTATGTATGTATGTATGTACGTACGCACGCACGCACGCACGTATGTGTGCACGTACGTATCTATGTATATTGATATGTGGGTACGTAGGGATGGAAATATGTATGTATGTATGTATGTATGTATGTATGTATGTATGTATGTATGTATGTATGTATGTATGTATGTATGTATGTATGTATGTATGTATGTATGTATGTATGTATGTATGTATGTATGTATGTGTATATGTATGTATGTATGTATGTATGTATGTATGTATGTATGTATGTATGTATGTATGTATGTATGTATGTATGTATGTATGTATGTATGTATATGTATGCATGTATGCATGTATGTATGCATGTATGTATGTATGCATGTATGCATGTATGCATGTATGCATGTATGCATGTATGCATGTATGCATGTATGCATGTATGCATGTATGCATGTATGCATGTATGTATGCATGTATGCATGTATGCATGTATGCATGTATATGTATGTATAATGTATGTATGTATGTATGTATATGTATGTATGTATGTATGTATGTATGTATGTATGTATGTATGTATGTATGTATGTATGTATGTATGTATGTATGTATGTATGTATGTATGTATGTATGTATGTATGTATGTGTTTGTGTGTGTGTGTTTTTGTCTGTGTGTGTGTGTATGTGTAAGTGTGTATGTGTGTATTGTGGATGTGTGTGTGTGTATGTATGTATGTATGTATGTATGTATGTAGGTAGGTAGGTAGGTAGGTAGGTAGGTATGCATGTATGTATGTATGTATGTATGTATGTGTGTATGTGTGCATGTGTGTGTGAGTACGTGCGTACCTGTGTACGTATGTATGTGCGCATGTGTGTTTGCATGCGTGTATGCGCGTATGTGTGTATGCGCGTATGCGTGTATGCGCGTATGCGTGTATGCGCTTATGCGTGTATGTGTTTATATAAGTGTGTATGTATGCAGGTGTGTATGTGTATACGTGTCTGTGTGTCTCTGTGTCTGTGTGTCTCTGTGTCTGCGTGTCTGCGTGTCTGTGTGCATGTGTGCATGTGTGCATGTGTGTGTGTGTCTGTGTGTCTGCGTTTCTCTGTGTCTGTGTATCTGTATGCATGTGTTCATGTGTGCAAGTCTGCATGTGTGCATGTGTGCATGTGTGCATGTGTATGTGCGTATGTGTGCGTGTGTGAGTGTTGGTACGTGTATGTATGTTTGAATGTATGTACATGTGTGTCTGTGTGTGTGTGTGCATGTATGCACGTATGCATACAATGATGGCAATCCACGGTGAAATATGCACCCATTGCTGTAATCCTTTGAATGGGGCAAAGGCTGCAGTTCCCCAGTTCTTTGCAGCGAACGCAGCCCCCCAACCCCCAACCCCCGCCCCTCCCAACCCTTCCCCCCCAACCCCCTCCCCCCTAACTCTCTCCCCCCAATTCCCCCCCCCCCGTCCCCCTTCAAAATTTCTTCCAATCCAAAGCGCGGGGGCAGGTGTCCGGCTCCGGCTCCGGGCCTGAGCCGACCCGCCGACCCGCCGGCCGAGCACCGAGCGAGCGAGCGAGCGAGCGGCGACGCCCG